TAGTCTGTCTGCAGTGAAAATTGCAATTACCCCTGGGGCACCATGGCAGTCAGAGACTTCCAGTCCAACAAAATGGATGACAGCCTTGCAACCCAAAGCATTCAACTCCTTTTAAGTTGGGACCCCCCAAGTCATCAGATTGGCAAAAATACAACAAATGGAGTAGAAAAAAAGCATAATGCATGAGATTTTTTTTAAAGTAAATGATACATCTTAAACTATTACTATTTTCCCTTCTCATTTGTCTTTGAGTCCATAGGAAACATCTAGGTGGGTTACAAATGCAAGGTTCTTCAGACTCTGCCTACGTGCAGGTGTAATTCTGCATGGCCTGGCTCAGGACTGCGGTATGTGGCATTTTTGATTTTGTTCTGCTTTTCAGGAAAGCTTAGTGACTTAATAAATAGTATTGAGCAGATAAGGTCTGAAATCAATGTTCTGAGTAACTGAAAGTCTGCCAAAGAATGGAACACTTTACTTAATTTAATTAAATGTATTTCTTACATTGGCTTGAGAAAAACATTTTCTTGGAGCAAAATTGAAACATCACTTAATTTCAACTTAAACCAAGTGGACTGAATGCATCATGCGAGATGGCTCCATGCCCTTGTAAGCTCAGCTGTCAGGACACATTTGAAAGTGTCGAGAGACTCTCTCTCTCTCTCTCTCTCTCTCCCTCTGACTCTACTTAGCTCTCTGTTCTGCGTAACAGGAATGTCTGCATCCCTCCCCAGCACCTAAGATTGTAGGAGGACATTGTATTAATCATCCATCCTGATGACAATGAATGTTAAAACTAAAACATCAGGTCTGTCTGCTCTAACGTGCTTAAGTGCACAGCCCCACCCTGATAAGCAGAGATGTATGCGTGTCCCCTTTCATCCATGCCAATGGTGGCCATTCTTAGCTGTGCCAAGGTCTTCCAAAGTAACTCGCAATTATGGGTGCTCAACCGGACACACTGCAGAAAAGCCTGAAAGGCTTCAAAAACATAAGGCCTTCTTATCATGCTAGTCACTTGGCTAGCCAGTATTTTGATAATCTTGGGCATAATTCTGTAGCCTGCCAGGGTGAGCGTATGCCTCACATCATAGATGTGTTTGGTCTGGGGTGAGTGGGGAGGGAATGCAAAATAAACCCCCTGCAATTAACAGCAAATTCTGAATGAACCGTAATCCTATCTACCTTAGAACCCAAAATAAGGAATAATGCTGTGCCAGAGTACTCTCCATGGCCCACAAAAACTAATAAAGTCAGGATTTGCTAAGTGCTCTGATTTTGCAAGATGAGAGGTATTTTAAAGGAAGGTGTTCAGTGCAAGAAAAACCCACTGAATAATGCATGCCTGGCTGAAAGTCTGCAAAAGCTAGCTTCTCAACAAGGACAGAGCACAGCCCGGTGTGTGAGACATGGCTGGAAACATAAAACTCACGGCCTAGTTCTCCAGTGCACTGCAGAAGCACAAGGCTGCTATAAACCCCATCTACTTAGAATTTGGGTGCTTGGGCACAGAATGGGCGATACCTGCTTTGGCTGGAAATGGGGCCATGCCAGAGATGCAGAGGGGGTGTTTCTTTGTCCTTTGCATCATTTGATTATTTGTTAATAGGCAAAAAGGGTAAGTGCCACTCCTGATGTAACCCAGTTTTCTTTTTGACTAGGTGATTCTTGAGTACGATTCTTGAGTACCAGCTCTTACAGGACTCCCAGAGGAGCTGCATTTATCAATCATGACCTTACAGATGACGGGCGCTGTAAGTGGACATGGCTGTACCCTGCTACTGACCTGCTTTGTGACCTTTGGCAAGTCATATCACACCTCTTTTGGCCTTGTCTTTTTGCCTTTTGGTAGGAATTGCTTCATGAGGGAAATTGTTTCCTTCAGATAAAACTAACATACTAATATGACACTGGTCTCATTAGAGCACATTAACCACTGCTGAAATACAGATAATTATAAGCTGAGCCAAAGAAGTCAAATGAGTTAAATATTGCTAGCTAAAACATAGGTTTGGGGATCATGAATTTGAGGAGCTGCCAGAAAAAAAGGACCATCAATACTGAAGAAGAAGTTTGGCTAGTAGGCAAATATTCCTTGTGACAAAAATTGACAGTTAAACACCACATGTTCTTCCCCATATCCAAGTAATTTCCGTAACAGTTCAGTTCATAATGGTTCCACAGTTTACAAAGGTGATACTGCTTTTATATCAGAACAAATGCTGCTTTTAAGTGAGAAAAGAGACATCAAATTGTCAAACTCAAGGACATCAGACAAAGGAACAAGACATACTGTGAGACAAAATCAAGACCAACTCTTCTTCACAAAAGCACTCAGTATTCTTCTCTTTTTCCTCTCACTTTATGTCACTATTAAAAAAAAAACCAAAAACCTCATAGTACGCTGATGCACTGTGAGCATTTCCTCTATGGTATCAGATGCCACTGCAGGAGAACAAGAACAGGACAACAAACAGGATAAATCAAAGTCAATCTGAATTGTAAGATGCCTACCAACTCTAGGAATTTACTCAGTTTTCATATATAGAATATTCAGTTCTTTGCAAAACATGGAAAAGGAAGTATCCTTCCGCTTGGGATATTGGACATAAGCTAAATGCTTTCCTTGTGTATTTATTGACTCTTACAAACAACGTATGCATGTTTAGTTACAGCCACAGCTCCTAGTGCCTTGACACTGTTGGAGGAACAGGGAGAGGCTTGCAATCATTGAGAGAAACCACAGCAGTCCCTATCACCATGCCTTAAAGCAACCAGTCCTACTGCTCTATATGTTCCCTCTGCTAATATATGGAACCAGTTGTTCGTTTTGCAGAGAGGTCTGAACCTAGGCAAGTGTCCACCTCTCCTGCAATGCCAGGTTTCCTCTGGGCACATGGGCAGTGAAGGGAGCTGAGGTTTCCTCTAGGAAACCCTCCACCCTGTGCTGCCAGAGGGCCAGGACTCTGGACCCCACCACAGAGCATTCCTGACCCACCAAATACAGCCCCATTACCGAGCAAAGAAATTAAGGGCAAAAAACTTCTAGAGATTAGAGAACAGCCACTGGGCTTTTGTACCTCTTATTTGTGCCTAAGGAAACCTCACCATGACTCCTTTTACTGCCAACAGCCACCAGCAGGTCCCAGCGTGGGAACTGCTCAGTGGCAGTGACTGCAGGAGGAGCTCCAGCAGGTCAGCACCTCTGAAGAACATGTTCCTTGATTAGTTACCAAACAAAGAGTCTGATTTTCTGGGTGCACTCAGGTTTCAAAATGGTTTGTGTTAGAACAGCTGCTTCTGCTCCTTTCAAAGACAAATAAACCCCAGCTTCTGCTTTTCCTCAGTCTTAGCTGGTGATTTGCTCTGCAGGACTCAGAATGGTATTTTTTTAACAGAGAATGCCCTTTACCATCGCCCATGAAACAAAAGAAAGTGATAACAAATAGCATTTTTCCTCTGGGAGCAATGCCCACAATGCACACCTGAAACCCTGTTCAGGCAGAAGCTCCTATTCCCATCACATGAGCTTGTCTGGAAATCCTGACCAAAACCTCTGCCTCCTCCAGCAAAGGCTGCCAGGGGTTCCCAGGATAAGGCTCTTAAAAAAACCACCCTGACAGTGGGAAATAACGTCCACAGCCTGTGAGGGTTGTAAGTAGCAGCTTTTCCTAGCAGATGTTTCCCCTGCTACAGTTGATGCTACTGTTTCAATATCCAGCAAATTACTTTCTTAAAATGAAAATAATACTGTGTGAAAGTATTTAAAAGACAGGACAATCTCTACAATACAGAGATACTACAAATCAAACTAATATTTTTAAAACAGAGAATTCAAGTAATTTGGGGGAGGGAGCAGCTGTCTTTCAAAAAAAGTACAACTAAATGTCATTATTTTATCTTTGCAATCATGTACCTGTTGGACTGAAGCTGTGATTTCAAGGTGTTATATAGTACTAGAAAATCAATGACTGTACAGTGGGCTCGGTAAACCTCATCAATCCTCTCGCAGCCCTGCAACCTGGTGGAAAAAACCCAGCCATATCTTTCCATTAGAATAGAAGCAGATTGCACATCATCAAATTGCACGTCCCCAACTCTGTTTTAGGTCTTCCAGGTTTTCTTTTTTGTGACTTAAAGGCTTGCCACAGCTCCAGCTGAAATGAAGTTTTCCTCTCAACAGAAAGTGGACCAAGCCGTAACTGTAGAAGTTTAAGGAAATTATTTTTACAGCTGACCACCGATTTTTGAAAATGACATCATTTGGAGGACAGACGTGAGACACCTTAGAGTGCTTTCATTTTCAAAAGGTGCTGAGCATTTGACTTGTAATATAAACCACCTTTAAGGTGTCTCAAAACCTGGACAGCCCAAAACTGCTGATTTTTGAGTTAAGTGCTCACCATTTTTAAATGACTGACTGAAAATGTTGTCCTTTGGGGATGCTGTAATTAATTTCATCTGTTTGTCTGTTATTTGGTAAAGCCAATAGTAGTTTCAGATCCAGTGTAAATGACCAGGTATTGAAAAATATCTATGTTTACAATACACCAAACAAGTGAAGAAAACTGTGAACCATCAAAAAATATGGTTCATAAGACAGCAACTTTTGTACAGTAGCTCTGAAAGCAAGCATATGCATTTCTGCTTCAAGAGTTCTTGGTCCCCAAAACTCAGTCAGCTTTCTCCTAGCTATGCTTGCTAAGGAGGAAAATCCATGATATACACATTGCTGCATCCAATGAGGAGAAAGCTCTCCTCCACCTCTTTGCTTGGAAGACCTGGCAGTAGTGAAGGAGAAAACTGCTGCCCTGCTTTTCAGAACAAGGCTGTATTCATCCCCAAAACGGGACCGCACCATGTGCAGTCCTCCTCAGGAAGAATTTAATGTCCTGTCTTTCCACTTTTTGCTCTTGTTTGATAGCAGCTCACCCTCTTCCTATCACACTAAAGCTACTGGGTGAAGCACTTTCTTGGGACGCTGGCTGGCAAGGACAGAGTTATTGGTAGGCGCTAAGAGGGACAAACTTCCTGGAAGCCTGAGTGAAGGAGACAAAAGTAAAATTTTCACAGTGCTCCAGCTTTACTTTCTTTGCCAGCTTGGGGATGACACACCTGAGGGAGCAGAGCCCCATCCTCTGCTCTTCATACCAGATATTCCCTATGCTGCTCACCTTCTTCCGGGCTGTCAGGTAGAAGGGAAACTTGGCCTCCATCTGCGTTGGCGGCCGGTGTACGTACATGTACTTGTAGAGGAGGCAGTACGGGCAAAGCTTGTGCCCTTCTGACTGCTCATGGTAGATCTGGTTGTAACACACTCTGTTCGTGTTCACCCTGTTTTCTTGCTTCATGCTATCTGTTCTGGCAAAAAATGGCCTGTTCTGGGAGTCTTTGAGCAATTCAATGTCACCAAACATTAAGTCCACATGCTCCTGTAAGGTTTGCATGTTCAGGTACTGGCTGCTGTATTTCACCACTGTGGACAGCAGGGCTACGGGGCTGTCATCTCCCAGGCATCCTGTCCTCCACATCTCTTCCTCATCAGAAAGGGAGAAGTAGATAATGTTGCAAGAGCGGGTACCAGACATCCCAGCCTTGCTCAGGACCTTAAGCTTCTCCTTGAGCTTTCTGGTGGAAGAGCTGAAGGTGCTGCTGGAGATGGAGAAACCAGCACCAGCATTCTTGAGGATCCAGTCCAGGACTCATTGGATAGTGTGGAGGGATGTGGCTAAAAAGTCAGACCCATCTATTTTCTTCACAGTGATGTAAAAGTCCTCCAGGAGTTCACTGAGCTTCACTGCTGAGATCTGGAACAAGAGGAACGGGAAAGATGTATCAGGGTACCTATGGGAAGGAAATGCATTGCAGGTGGGGAAGACACATTTAGGGCTTCTCCATGCTCTGTCTGAAGAAATCTGCAGCAGCTTCCATGCTTCCCCAGAAGTTTGTTTCTGGGCAGCCTTAGAACCTTAGGAAGAGGCTAGATGTTTATCTAAGCAAAAGAGATGCAACGAAACCCCATGGTGTAGAGATGCTCGGACAGACCAGATCTATTTCACTGGCTGGCACCACTTCTGCACCAGCTGTAGAAATCCAGATACAGAAGAAAGGAGGCAAATTCCTGGATTTTTTGAAGTGATTGAAGGTTTCAGTCACACTTAGGTGTGACCGTGTGCAAATGTGTGACCTACCACTTGGGTGTAATACGCTGTACTTTTGCGGTAATATGGTACATATGGAAACTTTTCAGGCAAAGAAGGAGGAGGAGGAGAAAGAGAAGGAGGATGAGGAGAAGGAGGACAAAAAGGAGAAGCAGCAGCAGATTCTTCTTTTGGCCATGAGATGTCAGTATTGCAGTCAGGCTGCCAGTCAGGCTGCTTCAGCCTGCCAATGTCTTAGATCAACCTAACAGAGAAACTTCGTGATAAAAATGTGAGTGGTGCTTTTTGTACTTTGGCCCTTTGCCACTGTCCTTATTTTTGGTGCATACACTGATTTTGCTGGGAGTTCAATTTTGGAGAAAAGTCCTTAAATGCTCTGAATTGCATTGGCTAGCTCTGGGAGCAGAAATCATGCAGACAGGATGTCCTTAGGAAACAGCAGCAAATCTTGTCACATGGCAGCATGAGGGCAAGGGTGCGTACAAGTTTTATGTACGTGGAAATCTTCTGTATCACCCTGGGTTTCCAAGCTATTGTCTCAACCATAAAGGCAACAGGGTGTGAATCAGAAAAGGTTATAGCTTTATTAAGAGAAACTTGGAAGGTCCCCAAGACCACAAAGACGTAAAGAAGTCTGAAATCCCATCTCTTTTCAAACTTTATGATAACTTCATTTGACCGGGGGGGCTGGCTCCCATCACTGAAAAAACAGAATTTTGCTAAGTTTTCTGACCTTAGTGATGTCCGTGCAATCTCTGAGTCCTTTGGTCATGCACCAGTATCTCCACACGTTGAGAGCACAGAGGGTGGCCTTGGTGATGTTGGGGCTCACAGCACTGACACACAGGTACTTGAGGTCATCATCAAAATTAAAGATGGGAAACTTGTTGAGCTTAGTTGAATACACTAGAAAACAAAGAAAGGGGATAAAAATAACTTGCCCTAGTCACATGCTGCCACCATTTCTGGCTAAGAGCAACTTGGTGTTCTTCACAAAATGTAAGGAATTTGAGAAAGATGAAACACAGCATTTCCCTGACGATTTCCCACAAGTCTGTGAGCTGAAAACTCAGATGTGGCTGGAGGGGCACCAGCATGAAGTCATTCTAAGGTTGCCGCAGAGCTAAAAATGTGCTGCCACACAGAGCCAGTAATAGAGAGGGAGTGCACAGCACCTTTCACCTTGCTACAGAAACAGCAGGAGGATGACAAAGGCAAAGGTTTTTCCTTTGTTAATCAGCTCAGGAGCAGGGGAAAAACTCTTCCTATTCCTATACAGTCTGACTCTGTGCTGCCAGTGTGTCACACCACCACAGGTGTCTGGGCAAACTGGACAGGCAATGCCAACCAAGTAAGATTTTCCACTCATACCCCCTTTCTACTCCCTGTTAGGCACAGGCCCTGTTGGTTCAGTGGACCAAAGGCAGGTGCATCTTGATGAATACCATGAGTTAAGTGAAGACACGCAGTGTGCATTTCTTAGAAGGATAGCCTCAGCCCCACGGGCAGGAACTGAAAGTAGAGGATTGATGGAGAACATTTTATAGATGTTCAAACACTTAATATCTTTTATGAAACAGTAATACATTTTTATGATACCACTATAATTTTATTATATCCACTATACTTTAAGTCTACTTTTTACAGGGCTGAAGCTAATGGATTTTGCAGCCCAATGCACGCTAGCTGTGAAAGGTTGCTCTGAACATCCATGCACTGAGCTAGTGATCCCCACAGTGACCATCTCAGTGTGGCAGGAAAAGGGAAGAGGTGGTACACTCAAGAGGAAGGAGGTGTTGGATTTCTCCTTCTAACCTTCAACTCTGCAGCCACAGCTGGCCATTACTGCAGCCCCAGAGATGTAACTCTGCGCGCTAGGAAGAGGTGATTTTAAAAAGAGGTTTCTGTTGTTGCAGCTTTTGCTGTTAATATAGCATATAAAATGTAAAGGAACTGCATAAACCCAGCTGAAGAATGCACTGCAAGCAAAACAAGCTGGAAAGCTGAAGAGATGCACCATGCACAGGCTAGCAATGTAAGTATGTTGCCTGATCCTCTTAGCTCTGGATGCTTCCATAACAGGAGTCCTCAGTCTGTGCTCTGCAGACCCCTGATGGCCCAGCGTCTCCTTCTGAAGACTCCAAGAAAGATTGCTGGAAAAAAGCGTGCTACACAGAGGCCACATCTGAAAAATGCACATTGCCATGCAAGCCCGTCCAGGGGCAGAAGTCTCAGAAACTAGAGGGACCCTCTCTTCCTTCTGTACACTGCAACTAGTCAGTGGACAAAATTAGGACTTCTTTCCGTCTGAAAGGTAGGCTGCAAGTATTTTTTCTAAAGTGAGCTGTGTTTACAAATCTTGCTCATGGTAAATGATCCTCCTCTGTCTGTGCTGACGACCACTGCCTGTGGTGCCTGGCAGCTGCCTTGCTCTCCTGCTAGCCCAGGGATTGTGCTGCAGAAGCGGGGGGTTGTGACAAATTCAGGTGGCATGAACCTGGGTGGAAGTTCCTCTGGTCAGTAGCTTCACAAGCTCTGTGTTGTGAGTTATTAGGCAGACAGCTCTGCTAAAGAAAGGCCGGGATGCTCATGGAAATGATGAGCTGTTCAGTCACCAGCAGCCTCCTCGACAAGGGTTTGCTCTCTTGTGCCCTCAGGCTTTGCTACAACCCTCTTGCAATGACTGTTCAGGCACTGTTTGTCCCCTACCAATAAGCAAATCTTAGGTTAGTTCTCCATAAAGCCTTGCACCTCCCAGGATGTTTTTTTGCCCAGCCCATGGGTTGGTAATGTTCACCTCACACCACATTTCCCTTCACATTGCTTGCTACTCTGCTTTTGAAATGGCCATCTCATGAGCTGCCACTGCCTCACACTGCTGGCTCACCCAAGGACTACTTCTGAGAGCACCAAGAGCACTGGGAAACAGCCTACTAAACTCAAGAGCCTAGCCATACAATGTCACTTGCCCTGGAAGATATAACAGCACCAGCCTCACTGAAGTTCTCATACTGCAATTAATCCCACAGGGATTAATTAAATTCTGACAGGCCTCCATTTGAAAATTATGGTGGCCATTTCCTGAATCACAGTATCACTCAGGCAATTTGTCAAACCACAACAGAAGACAGAGACTTAGCCTGCTTCTGGCTTCCCAGGGCAGGGTTTATTATGTGCTAGGAAATTAAGTCGGACTTTCTGGTTTCTCCAAATTCCAGATTTTCAAAATTGGGGCATCTGGTTTGAGGTGAGCTCTGATACTTGATACTGCTAATAGTAACAACTTGTTATTAGTGCTACTTTGGTCCACTGACCTTGGACAGCGAGTCAAGTGCTGCACCAGAACAGGATACACAGATGGCCTTTCAGGGATGTTTCATACCTAATGCAAAGTGATGCCCATTAAAGTCTATATCATTTTTGCCTTTTCTTCCCACTAGACACCTTGTCCTTATAAACTCAGAAACTACAAAAATTGGCATGAGTTGCTCTAAGGCTTGAAAGTGTAGCCACATCAACAAAGTGATGGCTACTGTGAGCAGTGTGCAGCTCTAATACTTGCAGCAAAGGAGTCTTAGCATAACAAAATAAAAATGAAATAAAATGATGGCATTGTGATGGCAGGCATGTAGCAGCTACCACCTGTAAGGGTGTTGTATCATCAGAAGGATGGTAGAAGAATTATCCAACTTTACACTCCTGCAGGAAATAGATCATCCTTGCTTCTCTTTTTTTTTTATCAGCATTATGAATATTTGCTTTCTTTTGTCCGGAAGAAAACAGTTTAACCCTTTGTGATGGTTTGACCCTGGCTGGCTGCCAAGTGCCCAGCAAAGGCACCCTATCACTCCATTTCTCAACTGGACAGGGGAGAGAACATATAACAAAAAGCTCATGGGTCAAGATACAGACAGGGAAAGATCACTCAGCAATTACCATCATGGGCACAA